TATTTTAACTCAATCTATTATATACAAAGCCCATCAAACAAAGTTTAAAATTATCTGGCACATTAAAATATTAGGTAATTATGTCATTCAAATTCAGTGATATGTGATAATAAAATTTCTTGCTTAACACTTTTTCTTTAATTTTTTCAATATATATATCTAAATCGTAATACATTAGAAATCCTGGAGTATAAAGTGTACTTATCCTCATACTGGGTGTTTTGCTCAAACAATATATATATATATATAGTTATTTATATGTTCGAAAATGGGTTAAGTATATGTAAGGAATACTATTCAAACACAGTGTATCACTTGACCAAATCAATATGTATACAAGGATGCATCACAATAGCCATAAACAAAGATAAAAGCATAGATAAAGGGTTCTTAATCCATAATCCACGGAGGGATATCAGGTAGTACATGAGGATCAGATAAAATTTAAAATGTATATCATCATTATTTTAGATTTTTTATATGAATTTCAATACTTTGTGTATCTCATATATGTACGAGACAATGAACTCTCATTAAATAAAGTACACTTTGCACAGTGCATGCCAAGTTGAGTTTATGTGGATATATCTAGGGTAGGGAATCCATACCTTTCATCAGATTTCATTAGACTGACTTCCATCTGGGGTCCGCGGCTATTAGAAAGTTAAGATATACTAACAAAGATAATTAAGCCCCCCCCCCCCTCCCCCACACAACATAAAGGACCAGTGCCATCTTGACATACAGAAACACATGGTACCTGAAGATTGCCATAGTGATAATAAAGGCAATAGAAGCAATATTGCTTTAGAGCTCTTTTTTTTCTTGCCAATGATTGCAACTGAAAAGAGAAGTATTCGAAGGCGCCATACTTTAGATAAGACTTTTTTATTTTTACATATATCAGAGTTTGCTTCTACTGTCATACATCTCACATGGCAGTTTCCATGATTGAATTGCACGAGGTCACTTTATAATAACGTGAAGGTCATTTCAAGGATATACAGAGAAAATGACAGATAACATTTTTCCCCACTGGCGTCTAAATGCTAAAAAAAGGAAAACAAATTGGCAACTCCAACCGTTTTACGAAGGACGAAGCGGGGGGTATAAATGCTCGGAAGATTCCTGCAGTGCCATGACTCTTCTCGGAAGACGACAGACCAACCGATCATGAGAGCTCAGCGACCAGTGGTAAGGAGGGTTTGTCGGTGCATACATTATTTTTATCTATTCTATATTTTATTGGTTAATTTATTTATTTTTAGGTATCACGAAAATACGCATTCGATTAGAAATTGTAATCAATTGTTAATCCTTTTCAGGTGACAATTGCTGCCATGATGGCCGTGATGTCCATGGCAGCGGCTGGTGGTGGAGGCGGATATGGTGGCAGTGGAGGAGGTGGATTTGGCGGAGGACATGGAGGTGGTGGATTTGGCGGAGGACATGGAGGTGGTGGATTTGGCGGAGGAAACGTAGGTGGCTTTAACGGAGGACACGGAGGCAGTGGTTTCAGCGGAGGCAGTGGTTTCAGCGGAGGCCATGGAGGCAGTGGTTTTGGAGGTAGCAGCTCTGGAGGCTACGGAGGAAGCAGAGGAGGCGGAAGTGTAGTCGCAGGAGTCTTGGTTGGCAGTGGGTCCCTTTCGAGCGGCGGCGGAAGCGGATACGGAGGCGGAAGCGGAGGCGGTTTCGGAGGTGGAAGTGGGGGCGGTTTTGGAGGCGGACATGGAGGCAACTTCGGAGGCGGACATGGAGGCAGTTTCGGCGGTGGAAATGGAGGCGGTTTCGGAGGTGGCTTTGGCGGCGTCGGAGGTGGTCACGGAGGCAGCTTCGGAGGTGGAAATGGAGGCGGTTTTGGTGGCGGAAGCGGAGGCAGCGGATACGGAAAATAAAAAGATTACAGAAATTAAAATTCTATTTCCTTTTAACCCTTGATTTAACATCATAACAACCGGGCATAGGAAGAAAACCCTCAAGTGAGTGTTATACGGAAGGCATTCAGATTACCTCCAGCTATAACAGATCGTATCATTTTAACGTGAACTAATATTTCAGGTGTGATTGGGATCCAGTGCTGCATATCATATGTAAAGCGTCACTGTGAAATCAATATGTAGACGTCCTATACTTGAAATAACAGCATGAACAAAAAGGAGTTCGGATTAAAATCAACTAAAACTAATTGTTCTCTCTCGAAGTAACTTAGCTAGAATTGAAAGCTAGTTTTCTAGAGGGAACAGAATAATAATAATAAAAGAAACGCAAGTATATCTGTATAGCAATTAAACAAGAAAAATGGACATCGAATACCAAATTACTGATAAGATTCGTGAATTCACAGGCGAGCGTTACAGTGCAAATTCATGTAATGAACCCATGAAATTATGCGCACATGGAAAAAAAAACTTAACATAAATATATACTTTATACAAAAATGCTATTCCATATTTTAACTCAATCTATTATATACAAAGCCCTTAAAACAATGTTTCAAATTATCTGGCACATTAAAATGTTAGGTAATTATGGAATTCAAATTCAGTGATATGTAATGATAAAATTTCTTGCTTAACGCATTGTCTTTAAATTTTTCGATATATATATATATCTAAATCGTGATACATTAGAAATCCTCATACTGGGTGTTTTGCTAAAACTGGAATGTAAATGCGAATTAATATGAACTGTTATATTTGTTATAACACTAACAACATTGGGTACAGATAATTCATCGTCTTTAACTATGAAAGTGAGAACAATAATTTCTCGAAATATTTAATTTACAGGTTTCATATTGTATTCACAATAGGAACAGCCATGTTAGCTGCTAAGCAAGAAAAAGGAGAAATAGAAGTGGGCGGAATGAGAGAAAATATATATATATATATACAGTTATTTATATGTTCGAAAATGGGTTAAGTATATGTAAGGAATACTATTCAAACACAGTGTATCACTTAACCAAATCAATATGTATACAAGGATGCATCACAATAACCATAAACAAAGATAAAAGCATAGATAAAGGATTCTTAATCCATAATCCACGGAGGGATGTCAGTACATGAGGATCAGATAAAATTTAAAATGCATATCATCATTATTTTAGATATTTTACATGAATTTCAATACTTTGTGTATCTCATATATGTACGAGACAATGAACTCTCATTAAATAAAGTACACTTTGCACAGTGCATGCCAAGTTGAGTTTATGTGGATATATCTAGGATAGGGGATCCATACCTTTCATCAGATTTCATTAGACTGACTTCCATCTGGGGTCCGCGGCTATTAGAAAGTTAAGATATACTAACAAAGATGATTAAGCCCCCCCCCCCCCACAACAAAAAGGACCAGTGCCATCTTGACATACAGAAACACATGGTACCTGAAGATTGCCATAGTGATAATAAAGGCAATAGAAGCAATATTGCTTTGAGCTTTTTTTTTTTTTTCTTGCCAATGATTGCAACTGAAAAGAGAAGTACTCGAAGGCGCCATACTTTAGATAAGACTTTTATTTTTACACATATCAGAGTTTGCTTCTCCTGTCATACATCTCACATGGCAGTTTCCATGATTGAATTGCACGAGGTCACTTTATAATAACGTGAAGGTCATTTCAAGGATATACAGAGAAAATGACAGATAACATTTTCCCCATTGGCGTCAAAATGCTAAAAAAAGGAAAACAAGTTGGCAACTCCAACCGTTTTGCGAAGGACGAAGCGGGAGGTATAAATGCTCGGATGATTCCTGCAGTGCCATGACTCTTCTCGGAAGACGGCAGACCAACCGATCATGAGAGCTCAGCGACCAGTGGTAAGGATGGTTTGTCTGTATAAATGCATACATTATTTTTATCTATTGTGTATTTTATTGGTTAATTTATTTATTTTTAGGTATCGCGAAAATACGCATTCGATTAGAAATTGTAATCAATTGTTAATCCTTTTCAGGTGACAATTGCTGCCATGATGGCCGTGATGTCCATGGCAGCGGCTGGTGGTGGAGGCGGATATGGTGGCAGTGGAGGAGGTGGATTTGGCGGAGGACATGGAGGTGGTGGATTTGGTGGAGGAAACGTAGGTGGCTTTAGTGGAGGACACGGAGGCAGTGGTTTTAGTGGTGGAAGCGGAGGCAGTGGTTTCAGCGGAGGCCATGGAGGCAGTGGTTTTGGAGGCTACGGAGGAAGCAGAGGAGGCGGAAGTGTAGTCGCAGGAGTCTTGGTTGGCAGTGGGTCCCTTTCGAGCGGCGGCGGAAGCGGATACGGAGGCGGTTTCGGAGGTGGAAGTGGGGGCGGATTCGGAGGCGGACATGGAGGCAACTTCGGAGGCGGACATGGAGGCAGTTTCGGCGGTGGAAATGGAGGCGGTTTCGGAGGTGGCTTTGGCGGCGTCGGAGGTGGTCACGGAGGTAGCTTCGGAGGTGGAAATGGAGGCGGTTTTGGTGGCGGAAGCGGAGGCAGCGGCTACGGAAAATAAAAAGATTACAGAAATTAAAATCTTATTTCCTTTTAACCCTTGATTTAACATCATAACAATCGTGCATAGGAAGAAAACCCTCAAGTGAGTGTTATACGGAAGGCATTCAGATTACCTCCAGCTATAACAGATCGTATCATTTTAACGTGAACTAATATTTTGGGAGTAATTGGAATCCAGTGCTGCGTATTATATATAAAACGTAACTGTGAAATCAATATGTAGACGTCCTATACTTGGAATAACAGCATGCACAAAAAGGACTAAAAGTAATTGTTCTCTCTCGAAGTAACTTAGCAAGAATTGAATGCTAGTTTTCTAGGAGAAGAAGAAAAGAATACGTAAGTAAATCTTTAAAGAAATTAAACACGAAAAATGGACATCGAATACTAGATTAATGATAATATTCGTGAATTCACAGGTGAACGTTACAATGCAAATTCATGTAATGAACACTTGGAAAAAACTTTATCATAGATATATACTTTATACAAAAAAGCTATTCCATATGTTAACACAATTAATTATATAGAAAGCCCATAAATCAATGTTTAAAATTATCTGGCACATGAAAATGTTAATTAATTATGTAATTCAAATTCAATGATATGTAATGATAAAATTTCTTGCTTAACGCTTTTGTCTTTAATTTTCATATATATATATATATATATATATATATATATATATATATATATATATATATATATAAATCGTGATACATTAGAAATCCTCATACTGGGTGTTTTGCTGAAACTGGAATGTAAATGCGCATTAATATGAACCGATATATTTCTTATAACACTAACAACATTGGGTACAGATAATTCATCGTCTTTAGCTATGAAAGTGAGAACAATAATTTCTCGAAATATTTAATTTACGTGATTGATATTGTATTAACAATAGGAACAGCCATATTAGCTGCTAAGCAAGAAAAAGGAGAAATAAAAGGTGGCGGAATGAGAGAATACAATATATGTACAAATATTTATATGTTCGTAAATGGGTTATGTATATGAAGGGAATACTATTCAAACACAGTGTATCACTTGACCAAATCAATATGTATACAAGGATGCATCGCAATAACCATAAAAAAAGATAAAAGCATGGATAAGGGGTTCTTAATTTACGGACCACGGCTAGATTACAAGTGGTACATGAGGATCAGATAAAAATTAACATTTATATCATCATTATCTTTTTAGATTTTTAATATAAAGTTCCAGTGCTTTGTGTCTCTTATATATGTTCGAGACTTTTAATAAACTTTCAATAAATAAAATACACTATACATATTGCATGCAAAGTTGACTTGATGTGGATATATCTGGGGTAGAGGATCCATACCTTTCATAAGATTTCATTAGATTGACTTTCATCAGGATTCTTAGAAAGTTAAGTTCTACTGACATAGATGATTAAGCCCCCCCCCCCCCCAACAAAAAGGATCAATACCATCTTGACATACAGAAATATGTGTTACCTGAAGACTGCCATAGTGAGAATGAAGACGATGGAAGCTCCTTTTTCTTGCCTATGATTACAACTGAGAAGAGAAGTACTCGAAGGCGTCATACTTTAGATAAGACTTTTTTATTTTTACACATATCAGAGTTTGCTTCTACTGTCATACACCTCACATGGCAGTTTCCATGATTGAATTGCACGAGGTCACTTTATAATAACGTGAAGGTCATTTCAAGGATATATAGAGAAAATAACAGATATTATTTTTCTTCATTAGCGTCAAAATGGTAAAAAAAAAATAAATAAATACATAAATAAATAAATAATAATAATAAAAAAACAATAATAATAAAAATAAAAAGGTTGGCAACTCCAACCGTTTTGCGAAGGACGAAACGGGAGGTATAAATGCTCGGATGATTCCTGCAGTACCATGACTCTTCTCGGAAGACGACAGACCAACCGATCATGAGAACTCAGCGACCAGTGGTAAGGAGGGTTTGTGTGTCTATAAATGCATACATAAATATGTATATATATATATATATTTTTTTTTTCTCTCTTATTATTATCCTATTCTAGATATTGAGAAAATGCATATTCGAATAAAAATAGCAATCAACTGTTTTTTCAGGTGATAATGGCAGCCATGATGGCCCTGATATCCATGGCAGCGGCTGGTGGTGGAGGCGGATATGGTGGCAGTAGAGGAGGTGGATTTGGCGGAGGACATGGAGGTGGTGGATTTGGTGGAGGAAACGTAGGCGGCTTTGGCGGAGGACACGGAGGCAGTGGTTTCAGTGGAGGAAGCGGAGGTAGTGGTTTCAGCGGAGGCCATGGAGGCAGTGGCTTTGGAGGTAGCAGCTCTGGAGGCTACGGAGGAAGCAGAGGAGGCGGAAGTGTAGTCACAGGAGTCTTGGTTGGTAGCGGGTCCCTTCCGAGCGGCGGCGGAGGCGGATACGGAGGTGGAAGTGGGGGCGGATTCGGAGGCAGCTTCGGAGGCGGACATGGAGGCAGCTTCGGCGGTGGAAATGGAGGCGGTTTCGGAGGTGGCTTTGGGGGCGTCGGAGGTGGTCACGGAGGCAGCTTCGGAGGTGGAAATGGAGGCGGTTTTGGTGGCGGAAGCGGAGGCAGCGGATACAGAAAATAGAAAATTTAAAAGATTAAATGACAAAGTTGAATTCCCTTCATATCTCTATGACTCTGCCCAACACACATCCATATATGTATACACTCACAAACACATACAAACACACACACATCCACACAAACACACACACAGCCCCACACACACACACATGTATGTATGTATATATGTGTTTATGTATTTCAGTATTCAGATGCTCACAATTCATAAACTATATCAAGGAAAAGAACATTATAAAAAGGAAGCTACAAATAACTAGCTCCTGTACCATAGACCTTCATGGCAAATAAAAGAATTTGTGAAAGACACTGAACTGCCTCCCCTACCCACCTACAGCTCATAGATGTACTTAAGTACACATAAAATCGAAACTATTTCCACGGTTCGACC